AGAGAGAGAGAGAGAGAGAGAGAGAGAGAGAGAGAGAGAGAGAGAGGGGAGAGATTGGTCCAAACCTTTACAAGTTTGCAATATGGAGCAATAGTAAAAGAAAACGAATCTGTTGGTTGTCACAATACTATCTTTATCTCTTTACCTAGACCCTCCATACAAATGTGGGACCAGTTTTACTTAAGAAAAGTAAAAGGGAGATAGTGCAATGCCTGTGTCATTCACACATTTTAAAGAGTTATTTATAATCCACACTGTGATGGCAACAAAATTCTAGGTTCTCTTGGGACTGACTGACATTCAGTGCAAATTTGCTCAAGGGCTTATAACTTCTACACATCTCATTTTCCTTCATCTTTTGCCCTAATATATCTGGACAATCTTCATATCGGAGAAAAGATTCAAATAATGATTCTTTAAAAGAGATGGTATTCATGATAATGCTCTCACTTAGGGTTAAAGGTGGTTATGGGATTTTCCCCAAAACATGTGGGATTTTATGTCAGTAGGAATTTTACATGCTCCTACCTTGTTTTGGATTAGAAACCTCAAGGGAAGAAATATTCGGCCAAATCCTATTAAACTTTGGAGGATCTGCATGCATCAGGAAAAATCAGGGAATGTTATTTTCCAGCTATAATGTCATTTGGTCTAAACAGAAAATAAATGAACAAAGACACAAACCACACGTCTGCTTTTAACTTGGCTTTGATGCGCTTAAACAAAACATGACTCCCACACCAAACAAGAGCAGGCAATTGATGATCCCCAAAACATTGAATGGACATTAAATATATAGCCACTTCCCTAACAAACCTCTACATTTCCTTTTGAAATAAGGTAGAGTGTTCTTACACAAAAAAACCAAATAGGGACTTCAGCCATCCAAACCAATAAGTTAAGCCGGTGCCTGAAACTAGAAGATAACACTAAAGAAATAATTTCTCACTTGAGGATACCATTCTACTCAATTTATATTTACAGATATGAACTGGTTGCATTAGTCTTTCATGAGAGATTCTTTGGGGTATGTTTTAAGTGTGAGCCATTATCTCTGAAATGAAGTGGATCTATTTCCTGTTTATATAGATGCAATTTCTCAGAGAAGGAAAGAGAGATGACTGGTGGTTCTGGCTTAAAAACATTCCAAGGTGCTTCCAATCATATCTAAAGTTTGTATGCATGGATGTGTGTATGTTTCTGTGGTGCTCTGAGCTCAAAAGGTGTTTCTAGAGTTATGGATCTTAATCCAGAAATAATTAAAAGCATTGTTTAATTTGTTTAAATTATGAATTAATAGTATTTCTGTCTCAGATACACCCATCTAAATAAATAAATACATAAATAAGTTTAGAACACTCAGGATTAAAATTTGATGTTTTAAAACTGCTTTTGTTTAAGCTGCATATACCTGACTATTGAAACAGCTCTTTGATGATTCAAATCCTATCATTCATTAAGTCCAGCTCAATGCCCATCTCTTGTGTCATCCTGCAGGATGACCCAAGTCCACAAGGACAACTCTTGCCTCCATACTCTTGCAGCATTTGCTGTCACTGCTCCTGATCTTTTACTGACACGTGGACAGGCATGAGCCTTCATATTGCTAGTTAAATTTCATAGGTCTATTTCTCATCATCCTAATTAGATTGGATCTCTTTGAAGAAGGCCAAAGCCCTGAAGAAGGCTTCTGAAAATATCTGATAATTGAGAAATTGATATCAAGTGGCTAGGCTACTGTAAACAGATATTATCAGATTGTTTCCTCCATCATTAGATTATAGCAAATAACATTCTTGCAGGACATGGGACTTTCACTATTACTTTTTTTAAAAAAATATTTGTTACAAGAGCTGAGCTCACAGGTCTCACACAGCTCTGGTCTGTTTTGCTCTTCTTTCATACATGTATATGCAAAGGCCAAGAAAATCTTAGTTATTGATATTGCTGTTATCTATGACTATTTATGAATGGAAAGAGAATGCAATAGTCTTCCATATCAATATTCAGATGTTTTAAAATAAATAAGTATTTGGTCACATGTAGAAAAAGAAATATATGGGTGATTAATGAAATGTTGCTTTTCACTTGAGCATTTTGATGGTACCTAGTTATTAAGTTACTAGAAAAAGTCTAACTGATCCTTGATGATAAGTTTTGAAAAACTGCACATTTGCATTTTGAAGGAATTCATTTTATTACTAGAAATGGTGTTGAAAAAGATTTCACATTGTTGGCATGATTTTGTGTAAAATACATTTATATTATTAAGCATCAAATATTTCTCTCCATTTTTTCTATAATAGCAAATATAGGTCATAAATTGGGGTGATGATTGAAAGTTTAATGTTAAGTACTTACTGACATGTTTGTCTTGAAGAAATGGAAGTTATAATATGATTTATTACTTTTTAATAAGCTTTGCCAAGAAATTTAATTAAAGGAGATAATTTTGTAATAGTTTAGAAATGAGTTCTAAAAATTAACTCTATAAATTAAACTTTATTCCATATTCCAATAAATAAAATATTTGTGCCTTTATTTTAGTACAGTTCTTTTTTGGGGGTGTTTTATGATTCTTCCTGCAGATGCTAAGGTTTCATTTTAATGATCTGCTGTATCATATAGCTAAGAGAACTTCTTGGACATGGAAGTCCTTGTTTTGTCTGAGAATATAACTAAACATTTTTCCAAATAATTTTCATTATTTAGGATGCTTAATGTTACTGAAAAATTAAAACTCAGAACCACCAGCGGGGTCAACTTTATATGCTGTGTATTTTCCTTGTAAGGAAACATGGTGTCCTGAATTGCTGGATATTTGTATTCGTTGCCCCTAAACTCATATAGTGTTTCCATATACATTTTTAATATCTGGTCTTCATGGAATTTTTAACAACATCTCATCATAAATTAAAAAAAAATTGTTTTGCAATTGCAGGGCCAAGCAAGAAAACACTTATAATTAGCCTATTACTCTCTGGTAACTTTTGTTACTCTGAGATCCTGTTACGAAATAAATATAAATATTACTAACAAACATTTAATTCCCAGAAGTAAATTAGGCACATTGGAGGCTCTACGAATAGTGTAATGGAGACAAATTCTATCTTACTATATCCAAAGCCAATGAACGTCTTTGTATAAAATGAAGCCTCTGAGAATTCTTAGCCACTGGCTACTTGTTTCAAGTAGATATAAATTGCAAATAGGAAAAAAATTATAATATATCAAAAGTATTTGTATTTCTCCTTTGGGTAAACTGTTGCAAATTTACTAATTTAATTTTCTTCAGAAATCAACTAGGGAAAATCTCTGGGTCAGTATGAAGGTCTCAGAGTGGTACTTTGTTACAAGGCAAATGGCCTTGTGAGCCGTAAGATGAGGAGTCTAGTCCCAGTTCTACCACTTAGGAGCTGTCTGGCTGTTCATTTCTCGAGACTCCAGTTTCCTTTTCCATAAGAGAAAGATGCTGCAGGAGAGACCTCCAAGATTTCTTTTGGCTAATTTCTATCCCACCAATAGTTCCCTTGTGGTCTAGCAGCATCATGCTAAAGTTCTCAGAGGAGGAAGAAACCCATTGGGAAGGCACATATGCCTTTTGGAGAATCTAGGGGATTGAGTTTGTTGTACATTTTCCTTGGGAGGAAAAATAGTGTTCTGAAATGCTGGATATTCATATTTGTTGCTCCTAAACTCACATAGTGTTTCCATATACATTTTTAATATCTGGTTTTCATGGAATTTTTAACTTAACATCTCATTTTAAAATAAAAAAAAATTTGTTTTGCAATTGCAGGGAAAATTATTGTGGAAGGCTTTGACTATGGACCTATTAATTGTCATACTAAAGCTTAAACTGAAGTTGAGAAAGAATTGTTAGGGTACAGAGAGATCACAACATGTTTGAAGATGGTCATTCGGGAATAGATGTTTATGCATCTCCCTTCTTAAGGATTCTGGCCCCATTTGGAAAAATGAATTGAATTTGTCTTGAGGATCTCTTCTATTTCCACAAGGCCCATCAGTTGTTATTTATTGTATTGTTATTTTGAAGTTTTGAATTAAATCTGTGAAAAGCCTAGAAAATACCTATTTTGTGAAAAATTTTAAAAAATATTGTGCATGTAAACAGTGCTCATGCCAGAATTGCAAATTCGACCACTTAAACCTTAATGTTGTGCCTGAGTTTTCTCATCAGTAAAGTGAGGATAATGACACTACTTGTAACTGGTTGCATGAAAACTGAATGAGTTAATATTTGCTTCACATTGTAATTAGGATTCAATAAATGTTGGTTCTTATTCTATTTGTGGTTACCGTTGTAATAAAAATAAGATTACTGTACTATGAATAGTTCTTACTGACTTGAAGTAGGGAAAATAATATGCTCTCCCTATTCTTTTTCTCAACATTAATTGCTCCCAAAGCAAATGTTCTGATATGTAAGAAAGCTTTCATATGATATACTTTACTTTAGGGAAAATCCAATTCCAGGGCCTATATTAATTAATACTGTTGTTCAGAAAACAATAGAAATCATTTTCAATATGAGAAATATTTGATTTTTAATCTTTAACAATATAAAAATGCTAATTTCTAGTTTCTTTTTGGAAGTACATTAGTTTACAATATGAACCAAATATGTGGTTTTTCTTAATTCCTTTTATTTGTTAAGACCTCCTCAGAAAATTATTTTATAACAATATCATTGTGGCACTTGAAATCTATTTTTATGAATAAAAAAATTGAGATTCCCATTATAAAAATGAGACTCTGGAAAAAAGCTTTTTCTTTCTTTCTTTCTTTCTTTTTTTTCCCTCTGTGCCCTCTAAAAGCTTTCTGCTCTGTAGGATGAAGAGTAGAAGTGTGTTAGAATTGCTCAGCCTGACCATCTAGTTCTGACATCATAGTGAGGCTAGCTGAAAAGCAAGCTTCAAGCAAAAAGCTAAATACATTTTATTTATATCAAGAAAGTTTTCAAGGTGGGATTGCTTTAGAATATTCAGCTGTCTTTTATCACACATAGCATTCAATAAGCATGAAGAGTAGATTGCTTTCAATTCATTTTATGGAGGACAGAATAAAATGTGACCATCTTTCCCATCAAAGGAAATATATGCTGATTTTTTTTCTAGAAAAGCCTACCATGTACTATCTAATAGTAATTTAAATAAACAAAGAGGTAAGTTCTAATATCATGGTAGGATGTGATGGGTCCTCATTTGAGATTGGACATTGAGCTGGAATTCCGCTTGGCTTCTTTCTGAATACTTTAAAAACAATTAATTTAAGCCTTAACTTCTTTAACTGTAAAATGATGAAGTTGGATGAGCTGCTCTTCATGCTTCTTAGCAATACTAATGGTTACATAGACTTCTGGTTCTAAGATGTGGCATCCTGTGAGAAATGGGGTGCCACCATGATGGATGTTAGTGAGCCTCCACTAAACATGGATCTTCCAAGGCCTTCTGAGGAGAATATCAGGCATAGATAAGATCACAGGGTCCCTTTGGATTTATACACTCACTGCTATTGTTCCTCAGGGAATCTTTAAATAACATCATTGATGCCTTGAAAAGAATCTACAGAAA